CTGCATGCTGTGATACTACCAAATAAAGATAGAGCTCTTCTCCAGGATCCGGTGTGACCAACAGTGGCGCTGAAGACATACTCCTTGAGCTCGGCCAAGGCTCGGTCACACTCTTCATCCCAGGAGAACTTTGATTTTAAGGACTGAAAGAAAGGGCGGCAGCGATCTGATGACCGGTTTATAAATCAATTAAGCGCGGCGGCCATTTCGGCCAGATGCTGCACGTCTTTTGCCGAGCTAGGCCGTTTTAACTCTTGCACGGCTTGGATTTGTGTAGGGTCTGCTTCGATACCTCGGTTCGTGACTAGGAATCCCAAAAATTTTCTACATCCCACGCCGAAGGCACACTTAGACGCATTCAGGCGTAGCTTGTGTTTTTTGAGAATGGTGAACATCTCGAACAAGTCGGACAAATGATCTGCCTGATGCCGGCTTTTAACCACCATATCATTAATGTAGGCTTCTATTGTCCAGCCCAGCAAAGGAGCAAACATCTTGGTCACCATCCTCTGAAAAGTTGCCTCGGCGTTCTTCAAACCAAAAGACATAACTCGGTAGCAAAAGAGTCCCCTTACTGTAGTAAATGAGGTGATTTCTCGGTCGGGGCCATGCATGGCAATCTGATGATAGCCGCGGTAGGCATCTAAGAAACTTAGCCTGTTATGTCCAGCCGTCAAATCCACGAGCTGGTCAATTCTAGGCAAAGGGAAGCTATCTTTCGAACAAGCTCGGTTGACGGTCTTGTAATCAACGCAAACCCGCCACTTCCCATTCTTCTTCGATACCACCACTGTATTTGAAATCCAACGAGGATAGTGTACTTTTTGAATTGCTCGTGCCTCTAGCAAATTCTTGACTTCTTCCGCAACTACCTCGGCGTGATGCAGCGCCGATCTCCTTGTTCGCTGAATGACTGGCTTGGCACCGGAGAAGACATTGAGATGATGGCAAATAAAACTAGGATCAAGGCCGGGCATGTCGTAAGGCGACCATGCAAAAACTTCGATGTTGGCCATCAAAAACTCAACCATCTCGGTGCGTTCTGTGGCTGTAAGGCTTGAGCCGAGCAAGAAAAACTTGTCCGGCTGCTCTGTATCAATTCGCACCTCCACCAATTCCTCGACAGCTTTGTCTTCGACCTTGGTGCCCACATCATCCAAGACACCCTGGTCCTCCGATCCCTCAATCATTTGAACAAATCCTTTGGCAGCCCGGCTCCCGTTGACCGCCACGAAGCACTGCTTGGACATGACCTGATCGCCCCAAATCTCCTCGATTGCCCCCATAGCCGAGGGGAATCTCATTACTTGGTGGAAAGTCGATGCCACGGCTTGCATAACGTGAAGCCACCCCCTACCAAGGATCAAATTGTAAGTAGATGGTACCTGTAATACCCAGAACTACACCTGTTTGACCACGGATCCCGCTTTGACCGGCAGAATAATCTTTTCCAAAGGCCACTCCAGTTGTGAGTTGAAACCAACCAACGGCGATGTCGCCAGGGCCAAATCCGTATCTCGGAGCTTGAGCTGTTGGAAAGCGTCGTAGTATATGATCTCGACTGAGCTTCCCTGATCGATCAAGATCCGTTTCACGTCAAAATCTTTGACGCGGAGTGTAACTACTAAGGCGTCATTGTGCGGTGTCTGAATGCGCTCCAAGTCCCTTGAGGAGAAACTGATCACATCTTTCGCTTTCGTCTTCCCCCTCTTGAGCGCAGGCTGAACTGACAAAACTTCCCTCATGTGCTCTGCCTTCTTGATCATACCACTGAGCTCGCAAACACGCGCCGGTTCTACTATGCCATGGATGACATTCACAACCCCTTGAGGAGGTGCTTCCCGGTCGTCTGGTCCCCGTGGATCAACCGGAACTTGATTTGCCTTGACGCCCCCATCAATGTAAAGATCCAGGTGGCCGGCCGCGACTAGCTCTTCCAGGTGTTGCCTCAATGGCAAACAATCCTCGGTCCGGTGGCCTCACTCCCGATGAAACGTGCAACGATACCGCAGATTGTAGCCTTTTTGGCCATCACCCAACTTAGCAGGAAACCGGCCATACTTCTCGTCTCGGATTTCACTAAGTATGCGATAGATCGGAATCTTAAAGACCGTGGTTATGCCAGTCCTTGCCTTCAACCTTCTGTTGGCATCCGCTACGTCATCTCGGGGGTAGTCATCCCGGTCATTCCGATGTCCTCTACCCTGGTTTTGCGATTCGAGCCACGGTCCAATTCCTCGGTTCGGTCACTTGAGCGGCTGGACTCTTGCCCAACTGCGTGCACTTTGCCTGCTGTCTTTTTGTCTGTTGCTACCAGAGTTGCCTTCATGGTAGTCGCCGACGCGTCATCCTCGACTCGGATGTGCTCATTAATGCGCTGCATGAGCTGGCCCATGGACGTCGGTTGATGCATAGTAAGCGAGTCCCGCAGTCTATATCCGACCGAAAGACCACGCTTGTATTGAGTGATTGCAAGGTTGACCGGGCAATCTAAGATCTCGTTGAAGGTCTCCCAATACCGAGAGTTGTATGCCTTCAATGTGTCGCTCGGTTCCATCTTGACACTTAGTAAATGATCGACTTCCTTTGGTGTTTTTGTGTTGGTTTTGAAGCGCGTGACAAAAGCTTCGGCCAGCTGATGCCACCTCTCAATACTCCCCTCCGGCAGCCTTTCAAACCACTTCAAGCCCAGTTCGCCCAAACTTGACGGAAAGATGAGGCACATAAGAGCGTCATTCCGCCTATGTCCGGCCATGACCTGTCGGAAATGACTTACATGCATGTAGGGATCGGTTTTCCCGTCGTAAAGCGTGAACTTTGGCTGGTGGAAGCCCGCCGGAAGCGGTGTAGTTTCTATTTCCAGGGAGAAAGGGGTGGCACTCAACCTGGCCAAATCTGAATCCACTAGGAGTGGCGCTGCTTGGCGGGATGGAGGCTACCTCTTCGTTGGCGTGAACCCCTTAGGATAACCGTTGGAACGTCGGTATCCTCTGAGCTTCGCGCCGGCGAGCCCGCTCCTTCAAGACCGCGCGCAAATACTCTGGATGAGCAGAGTAAGAGTACCTCGACGTCGTCACCGGACGTGAGGGCCGGTAGGTGCTGTCTTGCGCGTTAGACTTCTCTGCATGCATGTCGGAATCACCAACTTGGTAACTTCTGGTAATAGAAATGGACGGAGTGCGTCGCTACCTCTGTTCGCCTGAACGGCAGGATGGGGTGCGCTCACTGTGGTCGCCCACTCCAGCTACACCTTTCCCTTTGACATGCCGCTTGAGCTCCTCCATCTCCGCTGCCATTCGCCGAATGACAGCATCTTGGTCCCTCAACTTGTGTTCCAGACGTCGGGCATGTGATTCTCTCCGCCGTCGATGACCGTCCGGACTTCGTAAATGACCATAACTTCTTCCGCGCTTATCCCGTGCATCTCCTGTCTGTCCTCCGGTGGGTGTCTCCAAGTCCGCCATTGGATGGATGGCGGGAGGTCCTTCTCTCCTTCGGGTGAACTCCGGGGTGGCTCCGTCTATGGCAGACAACGGAAACTCATCGTTGTTCGCCATGGACGGCGATCAGACGAGCCTGGAAGACAAAGTTTTGTCTGTCAGTCTTCCCACAGACGACGCCAATTTGTACGGGGAGCAAATATTCCGACAAGCCCGTACTCCTTTCTTCCGAGCTCCGTTACTGTCTGACCACCTGCGAGCAAATAACGGTGAGCTACCAGACGGTGTGTGGCCGAAAAAACCCTCCGACGATTAAGTTAGCGCACACCTTAGGATAGAGAGAGAGAGAGTGAGGAGTGTTTGAGTGTAAGAATTTCCTTACAAAATGTTCATGTGTCGCGTATGGGAGGCGCAGACATGCTTATATACCTTTCTGCGCCCCAAATCTACTCTCATTGGTCTCTCGACACGTAGCTCTGTTATCCCATCTGTCAGCACAAATCTTGCTATACATCACCTAACCCAACTGCCAGCCCACTCTGCTGGGAGCACGGTAGCCGAGCAACATTACCTCGACTATCAACGGCCATATTGATCATGCCGAAATGCAGTTGATATAGTTTCCTCTACCGGGCCTAATTCCAGCCGTGCTCAACTGTATTCCGGCGAAGCTGAGCTGGAGATTGGTTGTGCCGGTCAGCCAACAACCTTCTCGGCCACATTCTAAGTGCCGGCCTTCCTACCGGGTTAAGGTGCATGCATTACAGCCTTGCAACGCGTGAGCCGGGGAGCCTCATCTGGGCTGTTCCTCCACCTGTCCGCCCTTCGCAGAACCGAGATCATATAGCTCGGTTCCACGTAGGCTTTGCCATTACCGAGCAATATCACGGCCTGATCTTGGAGCCCAATACCTCGGCCCAAATCTGTTCGGCTAACGTCACGGCCCAATCTCAAATCATAAATCTCCCTCTCAATAAATATGCACTATAAAGACATAAAAACAACCGGACCAGTCAATATTCAAATTCAAAACTCCAACACCAAAGTTTCAATCAACTGAAGTGCATATGACAATCATCCAAAAACAACTTACTCAGCAAAAAAATTCAAAAACACAACTCTAAACATAAACCTAAACAGATTCATAGAACCATACTAACATATCACTCTTAAAATGTAGTTCTACATTCAGCCACATTTATAGGTAAATATACACTATAACTACATAAAAACAACTAAAGCAGTTCATATTCAAATTCAAAACTCCTAACATCGAAGTTTCAATCAACTGACATAGATATAACAATCGTCAAAAAACAACTTCCTCAGCAAAAATCTCTCAAAAACACAACTCTAAACCTAAACCAAAACAGATCAATAGAAGCACACTAACCATATCGCTCTTAAATGCAGTTCTACAATCAGCCACATTTATAGGTAAATAACCGAAGCACTTGATATTCAAAACTCCTAACATCGAAGTATCAAATCAAAATAAATGCATAAAACAATCATCATAAATCTCTCAAAAACACAACTCTAAACATAAACCAAAACAGATTAATAGAAGCACAATAACGATTTCGCTCTAAAAATGCAGTTCTACAATCAGCCACACTTATAGGTAAATAACCGAAGCATTTGATATTCACAACTCCTAACATCAAAGTTTCACCCAAAATAATCCATAACTATTATCCAAAAACAACTTACTCATCAAAAAAATTTCAAAAACACAATTCTAAACATAAACCAAAACAGATTAATTCATAGAAGAATACTAATGATGAAATGTCTCTTAACGGTAGGATTTCTGGAACCTAGCACGAGCACCGCGACCACCGAACTTCTTAGGCTCGCAACGCCTAGGATCGGCGACAAGAAGAGTCCGATCGTACCTAACAAGAATATCCTTGATCTCCTTTTTGGACTGTTCGTCGACGTACTTCTGGTAGAAAGCGACGAGAGCTTTGGCGATGCTCTGGCGGATGGCGTAGATCTGAGAGGTGTGGCCACCGCCTTTGACGCGGATGCGCATGTCGACACCGGCGAAGCGTTGGCGGCCGAGGAGGAGGATGGGCTCGTAGGCCTTGTAGCGGAGGATCTCAGGCTCGACGAGCTCAATGGGACAGCCGTTGATCTTGATGAGACCGCGGCCGCGCTTGCAGTAGGTCACGGCGACTGCGGTTTTCTTGCGGCCGAAGCACTGGACCGACTCAACTGGGGCTGCTGGGGTAGCCATTGTTGGGGGTTTTCTGAGAGGTGTGGAGGCTCTCAGCTTGGGTGGTTTCAGGGAAATGGTTTCGGAAACGGAGAAGCTTGAGAGGGAGAACTATTTATATTGATTGGGTTGTGTTAGGGTTTTTGACGGGGAAGGAAGTAGAATACCCTTGGTTTTTTGCTGAATAACGAAACTGCCATTTTTTTTTTTTTTTTTTTTTGGGTGAAAGACGGTTCGAAACTTTGGGGTGTGTTTGATTTGTGTTTGTAGAGTAATTTTTGAAATAAAAAATACGAAAACTTATTTGATTTACTTTTTTTTAGAAATTATTTTGAAAAATTATTTTGTAGAGAGAGTTTTAAAAAAAGTGATTGATTTGATATGTATGAGAGAGAGAGAATGATTTGGGAAAATAGGTAACCAAATAAAATTTCGAAATTTTATTTGGAAAATTTTGTTTGATTTGATTACTCTTGAAAATTTGTTTGTAGAGAATTTTTCCAAAAATTTTTTTGAAAAACAAACCAAACAAGGCATTCATTTCGTAACCCAAAGTTCTGGTATCCTGGCAATATCTTGGGCATAAATTTTGAAGACTCAGGTTTTACTTTCTTTGGGATTAGTTAGTTTGACGATAGCATATATAGCATATATGATTGGTAAGATGAATTTTTTAGGTTTGGGCGAGCCGTACTTAGGTCTCGTTTGACAAGTGAATTTTTTAGTCAAAAAGTTACTAAAAAAACTAAAAAGCCAACAACTTATAAAAAAAGTCAAAGATTTCATTTTCTCTCTACTTTTTACACATATTTTCATAAAAAACTAAAAAATCATCCCGAACATATTATTTTTTTTACATTACATTTTAGCCAAAGAGCCAAAAAGTTACTAAAAAAGTATGTTTCCAAACGAGGCCTTAGTGTCAAGAGTGTGGGTTTGAATCTCTGCCTGTGTGGAAGTCCGTGACTTACCGCTGCATGGTTGAGTGGTCCTATTGTGGAGAAACCACTTGTGGAGGCAGAGTATATTATTATGTAGGATAGTCGAATATATTAAAGAAGGAAACTAGATCATGTACTATACGGTTCATTGCCCCGAGAAATAGAGGTCAAATATCCAGATTGGCCTCTATATCAGCTATAGATTGGGCCGAATATGAAGAGATAGCCAAATGAGCGATTGTTCATTGGACGAAAGGTGGGCCCAGCCATCAACATCGAGGACGACTATAAATAAGATGAGCATTAGCCAAAAGAGATATGTGAGAACATATAAGTTTAACTTGAGATATAAGCAATCAAGAAAGTAATTACTGACTTATCCGTCGGAGTGTTAATTCCAGCACCCCCGACCCGAGTGTTCATTCTTTTTCAGGTGACTAACTGAGGATCACGAGCGTCTTACTGGATCCAAAGAATATTTCCAAACCACTTCTTCACAATTGGCGCCATCTGTGGAAATACTCCAGCATATCTATGGCAGGCATAACACGAGATCCTCCGATAGTCGCTACGACCTTACACGACGAGACGAAACCACCCCAAGCAACATGCTTGGGCTCGAGACCATCGCCGCACGAAGAATCTTGAATTTCGACTCAGTTGCCCAGACCTCACCCTCGACATCAGCAAATGAGACAATGCAAGCGATTATGGACCAGACAAAGCAAAACGAACAAAGGTTGGAAAATATGATCGCTGAGAACGAGCGCCTTCGACAGGATTTGGCCTTGAAGGTGGAAAAATCCCAACAAGTCGCACGCCAAGATCCGGGACGACCTCTGATAATGGATGGTTGACGACCTCGAGTTTGAAGACAAGATAGTGACGGAGATTCTAACTCATCATCCCCAGAATCCAAAAAGAAGGGACGAGTCGAAACCTCCAGTTCCTCCGAAGAGAGTCCGCGTGCACGGAATAAGCGAAGAAGAAATGGTTCAGACGAAGAGGATCAACATGACCCATTTGTTCGGAGGATCGCAAGGGCAATGCTACTCAAAAAGTTCAAAGCTCCATCATTTACCCGATACGATGGAAAATCGGACCCCACAAATCACATCCGTCATTATAAGCAAGCCATGACGCTGCATGCAGACGACGAGGCCCTCATGTGTCGAATATTTTCGTGCAGTTTGGGACCTTTGGCCGTCAGATGGTACTATAAATTGGAGCCGGCATCGATTAAGAGCTTTCATCAACTCCAAAAATCCTTCAAGGTAAGGTTCATCACCAATGAGGTCCAGCCGAAGCAGGCCGATTCTCTCTAGGCAATGCAAATCCAACCAGGGGAAACCCTACGAACGTATTCGGCGCGCTACTGGGAGTGCTTTAATCTCGTCGATGATGCCTGCAATGACTCCATGGCCATTACCGCCTTTAAAATGGGATTGCATCCTGATAGTGCCCTCCACAGCTTCTTAACCAGAAGGCCCCCCAAAACAGTCTGGTCGTTGATGAAAATAGTCAAGGAATATTGCAAAGTGGATGATGACGCCTTGCGGGTCAAAGCCGAGCACAAGGCTAACAAGGCAGCCCCATCTGAAATCGTTCAGCCGATAAATTCTGTACCATCACGGAGCCCTGAACCACGACATCGGACTAAACGAGACAAAAGAAGAGATTCGCGCCGATCAAACGACCAATGTCCACACCGGTCTAATGAACAACTTCAAGTGGATAGTAGGCGCGTAAGGCGCGCAAACAAGAAATATACGGAGTTGTCGGAGCCGATCAGCACGGTTATATCTAAAGTACAACATCTATCCTTCTTCAAATGGCCACCTAAGAAGGTGGGACCTCCCAACACGAGGAGACGGGATAGGCGGTGCGAATATCACAAAGACCACTGTTATGATACCGAAAGCTGTTATGCTTTGAAAAATCACCTTGAGGAGTTGGTACAAGACGGTCGACTTAAGCAATACATTTGAAAGAACAACTCAACCAAAACAATTGCTCTACGACAGGATTCGCCTCCACTAGGCGTAATCCATATGATATATAGCTTGCCAACGGCATCCGCCGTATATACAATTCAGTCACATCCTAACCCCCAAAAGCAAATTACACCAGCAAAACGGCCTCAGAAGCTGCGAGTATTACTTTCGATGATTCAGATTTGGCCGGCGTCACGCTTCCCCACATTGATCCCTTAGTCATTGAGCTATGGATAAACCGATTCACCGTTGAGCATGTTCTCATTGATCAGGGGAGTACTTCGAAAGTTATGTATTACAAGACCTTCGTCAAACTCGGCTTCACTGAGTCAGACTTGTCTCTAGCTCATTACCCGTTATTCGGCTTTAACGCTAATCCGGAATATCCTTTGGGCAAAATCACATTGCCAGTTCTAGCGGGCTCCCGATCAGTGGATGTGGAATTTTTGGTCGTCAAGCTTCCCTCGCTGTATAATCTTATCATGGGACGAACTTGGCTGCATACTATGTAGGCCGTGCCAAGCACCTATCATTAACTTCTTCGCTTCCCGACTGAACGCGGCATTGAACAAATTTGTGGTTCCCAAAAATCGACACAAGCATGTTATCTTCTTGCCGCAAAGACACCATGAGAGCTGGAAGTGAATTCTATTGAGGTGCCGGATTGAGAGAGCCTCGACGATGTTGGGTGGCTTCCAAGTGAAAAGGCAACCGAAGATCTGGATCGAGTTGAAATTGACGGGAACCCTGACAGGTTCTTCATAGTCGACGCTTCCCTGAATAAAGTCACAGGCAGCAGCTAGTCTCCTTCTTACTCGGCAACCTTGATGTATTTGCGTGGTCACCATATGAGATGCCGGGGGTGGATCCATCTATTTCTCAGCACCGATTAAACGTTGACCCCAAATGTAAGTTGATTATTCAGAAAAGCCCGCGGTTAGCCGTGGAACAAACTGCTGCCGTTGTTGAAGAAGTTGACCGGTTACTTGATGCCGGGGCAATCCGGGAAGTGACCTATCCTACATGGCTATCGAATACTGTGGTTGTAAAGAAGAAAAATGAGACTTGGCGCGTTTGTGTGGATTTTACGGACTTAAACAAAGCTTGTCCCAAGAATTGTTTTCCCTTCCCCAGAATAGACCAACTCGTAGATGCCACGGCACATTATCAATGTATGAGTTTCCTGGATGCCTACAGAGGCTACCATCAAATTGCCATGCATCTGGAGAACCGAGACAAAACTACATTCCTTACCCCAAGAGGAACCTATTGCTATAAAGTTATGCCTTTTGGGCTGAAGAATGCCGGGGCAACTTACCAAAGACTAGTCACTGTCATGTTCAATGGGCAACTCGGCCATACTATGGAAGTGTACATTGAAGATATGGTGGTCAAGTCCAAAGAAGAGAAAACTCATCTAGCTGATCTGGAAGAGACATTCAGCATTTTACGCAAGTACAAAATGAAGCTGAATGCTTCCAAATGTGCATTTGGGATCGGATTCGGCAAATTCCTTGGCTACATTGTTAACCACTGCGGAATCGAAGCCAACCCGAGGCAAATCACAGCAATTCTGGAACTCGGCTCTCCTCGATCGGTCAAGAAGGTTCAAAAGTTGATGGGAATGGCCGCCGCACTCAACAGGTTCATCAGTCGTTCCACCACAGATCACTGCCAACAATTCTTTTGTGATAACCCTGGTCTGTGTTATGCTAATTAATCTTGATTATGATTGTGATTATGTGTTTGATATGATTTTGAGTGTCATTTGTCTGAATATATGCGGTTTTGAATTTCTATCTGTTCACCGTAGGAAAATCTATTTGATTATCTGCTTTAGAATTTAAATTGAAGGCTTTATCGGCCACGAAAATCGAAATTGACTATGCCATTGTGATTGGCATAATTTGTAGAGCCTATGGTGAAATTTAATTGAAAATTTATTCGGATCGAAATAATGAGATTCAGAACGATTAATTAAGTACCATTGCTTAGCCTTAATTAAATTTGATTAGGCCATCCTATATAAAGGCCTATATAGCTTCATGTTATGTTTTGAGCTCATTTTTGCTGAGATACACTCTAGAGAGAGAGAGTGTGCCGACTAGAGAGAGAGAGGGAGCTCAAGTTAGAGAATTTCTTGAGAAGCTGGAAGATCTTGGAGTTTAACTCAATGATTAAT